GGGAAATTTTGGTATATTTCGATTCAAATCCCATTCTAGCCTTGAACTTGCACGTTCTATCCATTTTCACCTTTATATTTTCTTTTTTTAATAAAATTTTGTCCTCATTTATGAGTGATAACTGTCTTATTCATTAAACTACGATCAATTTAATTTAGTGTTGTGATTCTCGCTCTTGTTTCCACAATATATAAAATATTGAGAAATTTTATTTCTTAGTGTAAAAAAGCAAAATGGTGATACTTTTGTAAATACAATATATACTTTCTTAGTGGTATATTTTCCACAATATATACTTTTGTAAAAAAGCATATATTTACAAAATTTTTCTTTTTCTTTTTAAATATAATATAAGTGAGACTTTTTTTAATTATATTTTATACTATATTTTCATATGACTTCGATTTGAAAATAGATATTTGTTTTATGCTATTTTAAGTAAATGCCTCTCTTTATTTTGAGTCACATGTGTTAGAATATGAGCTCTAGATTTGAAAACAAGTGTGTTCATGTTGGTTTGTAGCTATTTTCTAACTTGATTTTTTTTTTTTTTGTCTAACATAGTATATTGATTTGTAAATATAATAATTGTTGTGCAATCATTCACTGGTTCATAATATTCAATAAGAAATTGGGGTTACAAGCTAATAACAACAAAGAAAACCAAATTTTAAAGACAATTAACCAAACGTATTTTTATTTTGAAAAATGGAAATTACTTTTTTGAGATTCTTTTGGTTGGCCCTTCCTTTGAATCAAACTAGCACTAGTAATTCCATTACAATAGGGCCTCCCCCACTTCATACCAATTTGGTTGACCTAATTTAAATCATTTGCTTCAAATACCCGCAAAATTATGGTGGACATATTAATTAATTAATATAACTAAACTAATCAATAAATCAAGTTGACTTGTTTCTGAACTCACAAGCTTTTGTTTGAACTCACAAGCTTTTGTTGGAAATATATGTCAATTATATTCCAATTGAACCATTTGACATAAATTTAATGAGCTAACACAAAATTAGAATCATCTATTCAACAAACCATTAAATATTATAAGTGAGGAATTTTTCTTTTTCTTTTTTTTTTTTTGGTTAAAAATGAAGAAAACTTTTTGTCCATATGAAATCATATATTTGAGCTCATGCGTCTCTCTTTGTAGAGAATCTAAGTTGAAAACTTTTTGACAACCTTTCAATAATGTTATTTTGTACAAGCATTGCCTGATCTTTTTGACCAACAAGTAGAAGAAAATAATAATAATAATAATAAAAAGGCAAAAGCATTCAATCTCTTTCCTCCTTTTTATTTTCCATTGTCAGTGAAAATAACTTTTCACATCATTTTATCCCAATGGGACCAAATTCCATGAATTATCCTTATATTGAAGTTTTCTTTTTGAGAGATTTAAGCAATTCCAAAAGGGAATAGGAAGAGGAACAAGAAGAAGAACATGGCTTCTCCTTCTCAAACTTAGAAAATGAATCAAAACAACTGACCACACAAATCAAGTGACAGTCTTTTTTTTTTTAATGGTGTAGCAGCAGCAGATGGGGTTGTTTTTCTTCTTTCATCACATAAATGATTAAATATGAAAAAGATAAAAGATAAAATAAACTTTTTTTTCCCAAAATTTAGAGTATGTGTACGTGATGCTTTTGGTTCGTGAGATTTGATAAATGATTCTAAATGGTCATAGCATATCGTTAGTTGACTAACATTAAAGATAATGTGATTTTAAATTATTGATTATATTGGTTGATTTGACGAAATATTTTAATTTAATAAAGTGTAAGGTGATTAGATTTTCTCTCTTTCTCTTTGTTTCCTTCTTGTTCTCCCCCTCCAACGACCCTCGTCATTGCTAGCCCTCTATCTCCTTGCCAACGGCTTGCTCTCGTCAGCCCTCGCTTGCGCCCTTGAGTCGTCGCCCTCATCATCGTCGTTGTGGCATGATTCTCACCCTCACTAGGGGATCCTCATTTAGATTTGGAATGAGGAATGTTTCAAGTTAGATGTCAGATTTGGATGAGGAATCGTTCCTCGTTCCATGAAATGAGGAGTGTTCCCAATTCGATTCCAAATCTGGAATGAAAAATACCTCATTTCTCATTCTTGTTGATAGCGGCAGCGATCGACCGTCTACGATGAAATTTGTCAACACAAGAATAAAAATGAAAGAATATATTTACGAAAAAAATATTATTATTAACCCAACATGTGTGAAAGTACCGGTAGCAATTTAGTCGCCATGTCATCTTACTGTTGGTCATCCACTAGTAAAAAAAATTAATAGCCTATTTAAGAACATCTTTTTAATCGGATTAAAAGTATTCATTTTAAAATTTAAGAAATTAAATAGACACTTATACCAGAAAAAAAATTTATTCTTCCAAAAAAAGTAAAAGAACCCCACAAGAAGAAAAAGGTTCCTGAAAGCTCTTTTTGGGTGAGGCAACCTTTGTACTCGATCAAAACGTATTCCATAAGTTTTCCCTCAGTTTCTTTTCTTTTCTTTCCACCTATCAAATTTTTCTTAAAGTAGAAAAAAAAAAGATTTTCAAGAGAAACACAGTCGTCTAATCAACAATCAACAATGTTGATGCAAGATTTGACCGAGGTATGTAACGTGATCTCGGAGGTCGACCTCAAGCACTTAAGTGGTTTCTTAGGATACCTGCAAAGAGATGACTACTCCGACGTCCAATTAGTATTCAAACTGAGCCTAATAGGTAAGCATCAGGTTTTTTCATACTTGGAGTCAGGATCTAAGGGTGTATTTATAGCGGTTGGTGGGCAGATATACGTCCATCGAGGTGTTTCCCTGCTCGACGAGGTATCTGGCTAGGGACCGCTGGCTGCTGGCAGCAACCGGTCAAATCCCTGCTCCATTGCGCACTATCGTATGGCTCCTCTACCCGTTCGTCATTGAGGCCGACCTGACAGGTCGGTTTTCCCGATGTAGCCATGCCCAGATCGGCCGCATGCAGACCCCCAACAAACAAACTAAACTCTGTGGGGGTGTCTGGCTCAAATTTGACATCTTGAGCTTGAGGCTTTCGCAGAGAGTTTAGGAAAATTGCACAAGTAGATCTGGAGTAGTTGTCAAAATCTATGGATTAGTCCAACGAACTTCAAACTTGACAAATTCACAAGGATCTTAAAAAACACAAAACCCAAACTCTTGACCCAATCACCCCATTTATTTTGCTAATGAGCTCATTAAAGTTCTGCTGAAAACCCCATTTCAATTTTGTTCAAGTGATGCTTTTATCATAATCATTAGGCCTTTTACGTCCCAGTGTGTCTTGGAGGGGAGATCAGATTCAGCCCTCCAAGTTGATTAAAAAAAGAACTGTCTTTTAAGGTTAAAGCTACAGAGGAGGGAACTTTAGAGAAGAAACAGATGGCTTGTGATAAAAGCAACCAAACAATAACACAGTAGGTAGGAGGAGGGCGTGTGAAGGCATTTAAAGTGTCACCCATCATTTCTTCCACTGATTTGGCTTTGCCAGTTGGGGGATTGAATTAATATATGGCCCCAATGAAAGATCCCTTGACTTTGGTCGGTTTCATTATTTCATCCACCCCCTACTTGGATTGGACACTGTAACAAGTTTTGAAGTTTCTTTCTCTTACACACGGGAACTATACATATTCTAAAAGTCAAATGCCCCAAAAATCACTGCAATAATGTGAGATGATGATGGTTCTCTATACTGATGTGAGATGCTGGCTAATCTAATATAATCTAATCTAATCCAATAATCTGCCTTATTCTTTCAAATGATTAAACTTAATTTAACCATGTCTCCTGTTTGTTGGAAAACAGCAGCTTTCTCTGTGGTGGGGCTTTTTTACTCTTCTTCTTCTTGGGCAGCTTGTTTTTATGCTACAAAGATCATTCTTTTAACCAAAGGCTGTCAACCAACATGAAAAGAGCCATTTTTTAATGCACCCATTTCCAGAATGGTGGAACAAGACAATAAGAAAAAATCAAAAAGACCCACCAAGCTTTCTCTTGGACCCAAGTCCCAAAATTGTTCTGAAGAGATCAAGCAATTCAGATAAAAGGAAGCCACTTGAAGAGGAAAAACAGGAATGGGGAAAAAACAGCATAGCAAGGCACGGGCAGTAGGTGACTGTACTGAGAGTACCGTGAAGTTTGGCCCTGTGGGGAAGGCTTAGTTTAGAGGGGCATTAAATTTTTAGCCAAGAATGGTATCTCTCATAGCCGGTTGCCTGTTATTTGTCAGAGTAGCGTGCCCTGATATGATATGCCATTGAATCCTTGGCAGAGGATTCTCATCCGTTCGATCTGTTTTCTGCTTTGATTTGATTGATTTAGGGGTTACTTTAATTATATAAATACCTCTGAAGATATGGATGATAATTTTGAAATGTCAAGCAGTACAGTTCAATTATGATGTTGGCCGGGGCCAAATGAAGAAACACTCTTCTGTGTTCTGACCTTATCCAAAATGGTGGTGTTTTTGGACAATAAACGCTTTATTATCTGGTATAACTCATATGAAATTAATGCACCACCCCTTCAAAATTAATTACCAAACTCTCTCTCTCTCTCTCTTTTTTTTTTTCTCTCTCTCTCTCTTTCTGACTGGTCCATTGTGAAACTGTGACTTCAAAAATCAGGCATTTGACCTAGAAGCAAAACCACACACCCAATTTTTGGCTTTCCTTAAACTTTCTTCCGTTTCCTATTAGGACTTTTGCTCACTACTTCTTCATACAGTTGTTAAAGCCTCCCCCTTTTCTCGTTCGTTTTGCCATTTGTGCAACATTGCTTTGTGGGTATGTTTTTTATTTGCTTGAATTTGGTATTCTCCAAGTAAGAACGACAAATCGTTTCTGCCATGCATTTCTTCTCTGCCTTGCCTTTTTCGTGTTTTCTGTTTTGAGTTTGGGGAAATCGAGAGAGTGAGAAGTATAACTTTGGACTGCACTTATAAAACCAAACTGATTCTAAGGTAGAACTTGCAGATTTTTCTGATTTTTGTTTGTGTTTTTTGATCAGATTATTCATAAGTGCTTTTCGTGACTGCTTTACACGTCTGCTGCTTTTCATTGTTGTGATATCTACGTGACAATCTGGGTTTTTTCACCCCCAATATTTTTGTTTTCTTTGTAAAAAAAGGGTTTCAGCCACTGTTTACTGCTTTTATGTTAACTATTATTATTGTTATTGCTCTGTGGTGATTTTTAATAGATCTCTTCTGCTTTCTCCTTGTTCTATTTGGCTCTCCACTTTGACAGCATCATACTTCTTTTAGTCCTTTTCTACTTTGCTGTTTCTTGCTTTCTTGGTTTTCTCTCAAGTGGGGATTGAAGATTACAAGTTTTCTCGGTTCTCTCTCCTTCTGTTCTGCAATATAGTTTGAAAACTACGTTTGATTACTGGGAAAACGGTGGAAACCATGGAAATTTGAACTTGTAAGTACTCGATTCTGGATCTCATGGATGAAGTATAAACTCATTCAAAGTTTCCAGCTATTTTAAGCTTGAAACCGTGTAAAAATAAAAACTTTTTGCCTGATTCTCTTTTGTTCATAGATCATTTGAATAAATTGGGGTGGGTGGTTCAAGGGGTTTTCTGTAAGACCTTGAAATTATTTTTAAAACAATGTCCTGAGAAGCAGCTCTTAGTTTCTTCCGACGTGTGTCTGACGATGGACAAGTCACAACTCACAAGATCATCAGGACATTTTTTTTATTATTTTCTATTCTTGCCTCACATGGCAGCTTATTTAATGACCTTTTACTGCATTTTTTTTCCTTTCCCTCCTGAAGTTTATGTGCATCATTTTCTTGGTTCGCTAAAAACTATGGCTTAAATCATTTGTTTAATGAGCCTTTTTTTGCTTTGTTCAGCTGGTCTCCGTCATCCATATTCCATTCAATCTCCAGCGAATGGATTGAAGTTTGACTAAAAGAAAGGAACAAAAAAAACTCCAAAGTCTTAACATATTGAGGTGTGAAAAAACCTTCCCTCAGGTCTCTCTGTCTCTCTGTTTGGTTTTTGATAAAGTTTGGTCTTTTGGTTGTTCTTTAGGCGCTTGAATTTGCTGTGTTTCAACGTGTCATTTGAGATCTAACCTAAAAGAAGGATCTTTTGTCATTCTTTTTCACATCAGATGGTGCCCTTTTGAAGCTAAGAAAATGGGTGGTTGTGTCTCTACAAGCAGCCACAGTACATGTAGTAGCCAGAGCAATGGGGAACCAGTTTCTTCCTCGTGTCTGAGAATTGGATTTCGACGGCAGAAGCGAACGAAAAGAACATTCTCGGACCATGTTTATGCTCTGCAGAATCTTCCTTCAGCTCCCAACAGGATCTTCATGAATGGAAAAAGTCGTTCTTCTTGCATATTTACACAACAAGGTCGCAAGGGCATAAACCAAGATGCCATGATCGTGTGGGAAGTATGTTCTGTTTCTGATCTTTTACATACAGCTAGATGCATTGAATTATTGTTCATAGAGGTTTTTTCTTGCTGGTTTTTCTCGTGTTATAGGATTTCATGTCGGAGGAAACAATATTTTGCGGTGTATTCGATGGTCATGGACCCTACGGTCATCTCGTTGCTCGAAAAGTGAGGGATACACTGCCTATAAAGTTGATGTCGTTCTTCGAGTCTCCTCAGTCGAAGCAAAATGACTCTGGTAAAACCTGTTTTCAGAAGAATTTGAAGAAACCACCGGATTGTGATGGTTCTGAGAAGGATGGTTTTGTAGAGGATGGGCTAAATTCGGTATGGAGAGATGCGTTTTTGAACTCATATAAAGCTATGGATAAGGAATTGAGATCACATCCTAATCTGGACTGCTTTTGTAGTGGTAGTACTGCAGTCACCATAGTTAAACAGGTTTGAGAAGAAGGATTTCCTTTTCAATCATTTTGGTCTTCTTTTGTTCTATTTGTTTCTTATTTGGTGTTGTGTTTAGGGGTCAAATCTCTTCATGGGGTATATAGGGGACTCTCGGGCAATCCTTGCTTCCAAGGATGCCAATAATTCGACTGTGGCGACCCAATTGACCGTAGATCTTAAGCCCGATTTGCCTAGTATGTTGGTTGCTGTTTTATTCTTTCACTGACCAAGTTGTGCTTGATTTACAAAGCTAAAATGTGACCGTTGATCATTGTTTTGTAGGAGAAGCCGAAAGAATAAAACGGTGTAAAGGCAGGGTCTTTGCATTGCAAGATGAGCCTGAAGTGCCAAGGGTATGGTTACCTTTTGATGATGCGCCTGGTTTAGCAATGGCTCGAGCATTTGGCGATTTTTGTTTGAAGGAATATGGAGTCATCTCGATACCCGAGTTTTCTCATCGAACACTTACAGATGCGGATCAGTTTGTTGTTCTTGCATCAGATGGGGTAAGTTTCCTCTTCCTCTTCATTCTGTTCTTCAATTGTTTCAGCTTTGTATTTCAATTCTTTTAGGCACCAAGTGGGTTATATTATTCATCACTTTCCTGCTCTTGGACTTTTAGAACCTAAATGTGCCATCTCAAAGGAATTATTATCATTCATCTCTCTGAAGTGATTCCTGAAATGGCCTTACTGCATTACCTTATCAGAAGTCTTAGTTAAAATGGAGGATAATATAGCATTGTTGCAGGTATGGGATGTGTTGAGCAATGAAGAGGTGGTTGACATAGTGTCCTCGGCCCCAACCCGGTCGTCAGCTGCAAGGTTTGTGGTTGACTCTGCTGCTCGCGAATGGAAACTCAAATACCCCACCTCAAAAATGGATGACTGTGCAGTCGTCTGCTTGTTTCTGGACAGGAGGATGGACTCCGAATCCGACTGCGAGGAACAAGGCTTTTTGTCTGCAACATTGCGGAGTAATCATTCGGGTACTGCTATTGAGTCGGATGATGGCCAGAGGTCTGAGCCATGTCTGCAAAGGAATAACACTGTCAGATCATCCGAAGAAAAGGATTCTTACACAGGATTACCTGTTGACGATATGGAAATTGGCGATGCTGTAGCCGCAGAAGATCAAAACTGGTCGGGTTTAGAAGGAGTCACGCGAGTAAACTCGCTTGTCCAACTTCCTAGATTTTCAGAGGAAAGGCCAGTTTCGTAGATCTTATAAAATTCTAGGATTGTGGATTTGAAATGAAAGATAAATCTTTCCAATTGCTGCCATGTTAAAGGTTTGTGCAGGTACATTTTTGCCACCAGTGTACGTTGAATTGCACAAAACTTGACTGCTTTCATAGATCAATTACTTCAAAGCTCTCTGCCATCGCAAAAGTTTGGCTCAATGGATTTATATAATCTAATCTAACTTATATTTCAAGCTGCTTCTAATAATGCTACTGATCAGTTTCCTCTCCTCCTCTCATAATGAAAATGGAAGGCCACAAATACCAGATTTTGCTGCCTGATCTTATGGGTCAGTGGAGTCTTATTTAAGTATAGGCAATGTGGTCAAAACTGAAATTCATAAATTTTTCTTTTATTGCAAACCAACAATTCTATCAGCAGAAGAGTGCAAGTAGTGCAAACAAATGAAATATATTGAAATATAAAAAGATATACGAACTAGAACATAACCCCAACCCTCCCTCTCTTGAGATATCACTCAAGCCTAAACCATTAAACCAATATCCTTTCTCATTTCCCACTCTTTCTATTTAGAACAAACTCTGTAACTAATTGCTAATATATTTTTACTATTCTATTAATTACTCTAATTGAATAATGACTCTAATTACCCTTGAGGGTCATTCCTATCACAATCAAGAGCTGTTGCTGCAGAGAAGTGATTTTTTGGTGTGCTTCATTAGTAAACATGTTTATTCACTCGGCCAGAGAAAGGAGCGCATCAGTAAACTCAGCATGATGCATTCGTCTTTCTTCCTTCTCTGCTGCAGTTGTTTCTTGTGAATGATAATGAAGAGGAAATTTAAGATCAAACGTTCAAAGAAAACTATGTTTAGGAACACAAGTTCATTTTAGTTGATGATAGCTTCTTCATCTTCTCGGAAAATGAAATGCAGTAAATTGTACTCTTTATATGTATGTGCATATTGTTGCAGTTTCTACAACAAAAATCCAACAGAGATTTAGCAGATCTGTTTCAGGAATAAAACAATAACTACTGTAATGATATTTTGCAAATTTAGAATCTGTTTTCTGCCTGGCTAACTCGGTCTTCCATCATGTTTGGTCCTGAAAGAACAATCAAGGTTTGCATCATTCATATGTTCAGTGTTAAAGTAAAACTCTTAATAAAGCAATAGTTTCAGCATAACCATTATGACTTGCCTTATCTGGATGACTGCTCGATGAAACTTTGTTTTCTCCTGATGATGCCTCGGTTATTCGTTCTTCGGATTTCTCATTTGAATAACTACAATGACAATAACTAAGTTAAACTCTAAGCCTCATTGTATTAAAATAGCAACATCAGTTCCCTCGTACTCACGTTGAGAGGATGGTGACCCAGATGAGCTCCACACAGTCCACCCATAGAAGCCTTTGCTCAACAGGAATAACACCATAAGTTATCAGATGAGCAAATGGCCAAAGTTTCCAACCTGCCTGTGAATTAAACTATACCATTACCGCGTTTCCCAGCTGATTCTAAATATATAAAAACTACGATATGAGAATGAAAATCGACGGATATGTATCAATTCAAAACAAACGCTGCAAACATGAACATGCTGACTTAAAAAAACAATTGGAAGGAACAAGCTCTAATATTGATTTCAGACAAAGCTCAGAGAATTTCATACTGTAAGCATTGGCCAAAAAGTCGACTTTAGTTCGCTATAAACATTAGTCGGGGATTCTGCACGAAGAATTCCCAAAACCACGTAGTAGATGCTATTCCACACCGCCGACCAGATAGTTTGATCAAACGCAACTTTCACGGGAACCACCCACCAACCCTTGAACGGGAAGAGAACCTAAAAGTGTTTGGAAGAGTCTCAGATATACATAGAAATGAAGAAACTGGACTAGGAAATACAACTGAACCATAATTATCACCTCGCAGAATTGGTAGTAGTAATGAGAAAGGGATCCATGGAGCGAAAACCCAACAAGACCTGATCTGAACATGCGTGCCCGGTCGAACTCAAAGAGAGGCTTTCCTTCATAACACTGTAGGTTCATGAACAAGTTGTTACTAAGATAGAATTCGAGACGACTTACGAAAACAATCTACGGTCACTTACTTGGGCAATCCAATCTCCAAGAAAATAGATGATTCCACTTATCATCATTTTGGCTAAAACTGGGTTCGTTTTGAGAGCTTCTTCATAGGCAGTCCAATTGTGCTCAGGTGCATATCTTAGCACCTCATACAAGGTCCATCCCTGAGAAACAGTAAATATCTTCTGCACATAAATCGATTGGATAGAAATAGACTAAAGTTCCAGCTTTTCACCAATGTCCAAAAACAATGAAGCATTTATGTTCATCATTTTCTCACCTGAATTTTCCCAGGAAAAAGTAGATTCTATCTCAACTCTCCAGTAAATTGGAGGTTTTCCCTTTCATATTACACAGCATAATCAAGCAGAAAAAAGTGTAAACAAGGTTGAATTCCGTACATGAACCAATTCTGAGAATGATTTAAGCAAGGAACAAATTTCTAATACTTGGGGGACAAATAATTGAAAACAAAATCTTGGCAACCCGCAAATATATAATTGATAGGCTGAAGGAAAAGGCAGTGAGGAAAGAAAATAAATGGCCAAAATGAAGAGCTAATAAAGTTGCAACATGCAAGAAAACTTACATGCCATAGCTCGTGGTCAATTGTGAGCAGTTTAGTGACTACCAAGGTTCCAAATCCCAAAACAATGGTAGCATTAATAGCTCGGCCGCTGAAACCCTTGAACACTTCATCTGCTCCTTTCTCTTCGGAGAAGGAAGAAGTAGAGGAAGAATATGACTCAAATTTCTCAGACCCATCAATGGATAAGCCTTGTTCTCGATCATCCGAATAATTCTCCTCCAAACGAACCAATTCTTGGTCTTCACTAACCGACCCAACGCTCCATCTTCTTCTTTTCACGACCGAGAGGATCAAATTATCCGATGGGTTGTATTTCCTGATGTTCTTGGCGGGATGAAGAACTGGAAACGAGTAGGGTTTTTCGGGTTTCGTGTATGGAGGGAGTCTTTGAGCGACAAAGCTGTTGACTCCCGCCATGGAAAGCTAACAATCAGAGATTACAAATGAAGATTTTATAAACCCATTAATCTCTTTCGTAACAATGACAGATTCGTCTCTGACCGTCGTGTCCCGCTCCTGTTTTGGACCTCTGCAGACAATTCCGACGAAATTTAATCTGCAGAAATGCTTCCTTCCAAAAGTTTCGTGAATAGAACGTTTCCCACGAGCCATGATGTGACGGGCAAATGAATCATTCCCATTAACAAGGGGTCAGCTCATTGAAGAAAGTTCTCGATTGTCTTTGTAATGGACGTAGAGAACTTACTTGGCCGACCCAGAAAGAGGAGCAATCTCCTTTGACACATATTCTGCCGCCATTTCTCTTCATTGTTTTCTTTCCTTCGTCCATTTCGCGACCTCAAACCGTCGGTAACAAAAGGAAAAATGGTGAATTTTGAACTACAAACAATTGAATGGGAAAAGAATATTGAAAAAAAAAAAGGTCCCACCGAGATTTGAACTCGGGTTGCTGGATTCAGAGTCCAATGTCCTGACCACTAGACCATGGGACCAACCGATGATAAAATTTATTTGTAAATTTATAACAACAACAAACTAAAGTCCTTAATTTTAATCTCCTTCTGCGCCTAGTAGCGCAAAGCCCCGATGAGAAGAACCCTACTCAGACCTCCATTCTTTTACTCCTCTTCCCGTCCCCTTCATTTAGTCGATCCCAAATCATGTTCTTTGTATCGCAATGGCAAATTATTTCCAGAGAATTCAGAGTCCAATGTCACCTGCGTTTTCGGCGCGAATTCCAGGTGTGTGTTCACGAACACTCTTCTCCCGCCTCCCGAATGGATAGAACCTTTTGTGGATGTCTCTGATGTAGTTTCAAGCTCCCAAGGCGTAGACCCATCTCCATGGGTGGCCCAAATTTTGAATCTTCTAGATGGGTCTCCGAACATGGAAGCCAATTTAGATTCTTTTTGTCGCAATTTTTTGATTAAGTTATCGCCTAATTTCGTTTCGTTTGTTTTACAATCCGTTGAGCTTCGCGAGAAGCCTGAAATTGCTCTGCGATTCTTCTATTGGACGGGTAAGCAGAAGAAATATGTTCATAAGCTCGAATGTTATGTGTCTTTGATTGAACTCCTGACTTTTTCGGCGGATTTGGTCAGAATCCGGTTGCTATTCCGTGAACTTAAGGATAAGGGTTTGTTGATGAGTCTATCAGCGGCGAATTCTTTAATTAAAAGCTTTGGGAATCTTGGACTTGTTGAGGAACTGCTGTGGGTATGGCGACGAATGAAGGAAAATGGGATTGAACCGAGTTTGTTTACTTATAATTTCTTGGTTAATGGATTGGTGAGCTCCATGTTTATTGAATCTGCTGAGAGGGTTTTTGAGGTTATGGATAGTGGAAAAATTGTGCCAGATACTGTGACATATAACATTATGATGAAAGGATACTGCAGGGCTGGGAAAACTCAGAAGGCAATGGAGAAATTTAGAGATATGGAAATGAAGAATGTGAAACCTGATAAGATTACATACATGACATTGATCCAGGCATGCTATTCTGAAGGGGATTTTGATTCGTGTTTGAGTCTTTACCTTGAAATGGAAGAAAAAGGGGTGGAAATTCCTTCTCATTCTTATAGTTTGGTCATCGGTGGGCTCTGTAAGCAAGGAAAATGTATGGAAGCTTATGCTGTTTTTGAGAAGATGAATCGGAAAGGTTCTAGAGCAAATGTTGCTATTTATACGGCTTTGATTGATTCGTACTCGAAAAGTGGGTGCATGGGAGAGGCCATGAGGCTCTTTGAGAGGATGAAAAATGAAGGGCTTGAACCTGATGAAGTAACTTACAGTGTTGTCGTTAATGGATTGTGCAAGAGCGGTAGATTGGAGGATGCAATGGGATATTTTGATTTCTGCCGAAGTAAAGGAGTGGCAATCAATGCCATGTTTTATGCCAGTATAATTGATGGACTTGGAAAGGCTGGGAGAATTGAAGAAGCAGAAAATCTGTTTGAAGAAATGTTCAGAAAGGGTTGTGCTCGAGATTCATATTGTTATAACGCCCTTATAGATGCTCTAGCCAAGGATGGGAAGATTGATCAAGCTTTAGCACTCTTTGGGAGAATGGAAGATGAAGGTTGTGATCAGACGGTTTATACATACACAATTCTTATCGATGGGCTGTTCAAGGAACATAGAAATGAAGAGGCCATAAAACTATGGGATACGATGATTGACAAAGGAATTGCCCCAACTGCAGCTTCTTTCAGAGCTCTTGCCATAGGGCTCTGTCTTTGCGGCAAGGTGGCCAGGGCTTGCAAAATCTTGGACGATCTAGCACCAATGGGTCTCATTCCTGAGACGGCATTTGAGGATATGATCAACACATTGTGCAAAGCTGGACGCATCAAGGAAGCCTGCAAATTGGCAGATGGGATCGTGGATCGGGGTAGGGAAATACCGGGAAGAATCCGTACTGTTCTCATCAATGGCTTGAGAAAGGCAGGTGATGCTGATTTAGCCATTAAACTGATGCATAGTAAGATTGGTATAGGATATGATCGGATGGGTAGTATCAAAAGACGAGTCAAGTTCAGAACACTTATTCAAAATTAATCTTCCCTGCTCTCATGCTATACACTTATTTTTTATCGTTTCTTAAACCCTTACAATGCCCATCACAAGTTTTATTTTGTTATTATCATTCTTTGGCCTGTTTCATGGTTTGAGTTTAAGATCGTAGTTAAAAAAGTAGTACTGACTCCTATCCGTATCTGGGTTTTGTTTCTTCTAATGATTGAACAAAATAAAGAACCTTTCATGTAAACCTTTCCAAATGCAGTCACTAATCCAATTCTTCCACACATTGCGACCAAAAACATTGTCATGGCCCTATTACTTGGCTTTGACATGGATGTCTCTTTCCCATTTCTGGCACTAATCTTAGGTATCTTACCTCTTATTTGGTCTTCGATTGTGTTAGAACATAGAGGAACAGGCAGTGTTCATATTTCCACAAGGACAGGTCAATATTGTCACGTTTTTTAATTCACTAGCCAATGAGACATCCTTCCTTGGTTTACTCAGACCACATCTGTTTGCTTGGAAAGAAAATAAAAAACAATATCAGTATCGCTAAGGATGAACAAGAAATTTTCCTAGTTTTTGTCATCAGTTGAACGAATCCCTTCTTTTGCCCCACCTCTCTTTTTTCACCCAATCTCTTAACTTCGATGAAAACAAATTACAGACATTGGAATTATCCGACTGGTCTCCTGCTATTTATCCACCATTGTTCCTCGTTGTTCAATTCCCCCGCCATCACTTCAAGTAATCCCCCACTAGTAGCTTCTAATCACCGAAATCTTTTGCTTTATCCATATGGGTTCTCTTTCAACTGCTTCGGCGTCGCCTTCCCGGCCGCCGGCGGGAAACCCACCGGCCAATTTTAAGATCTGTGTCTCCTACTGCGGTAAAGATGCTTCACAGGGCACGAACGTCTCCAATTGGATTGATTGTTACGACCCACAAGAGAATTCGTGGAGTCGCGTCACTACGATCCCTGGACTTGTGG